TCCTCACCAATCTCTCCACCTCTACCGCATCAACCTCAATGAGCCACCCCTCGCCTTCACTCTCCTCCCCCGAGTCCCCAGCACGTAGCCCGCTACCAGCCGCGAGACGGTACACAAAGACATCAGCCAACACCCTCCCCTTCGCATTCAGGAACGCCGCGTAGAACCCTTCTTTCCATGGGCCCTGTGGCGGGGTGACGGTATTCGTTATCACGCCCTGCAGGTACTTTGATGCATCCGGGCCGGTGAGGGAGATTAGACGGCGGGAGGGGAGGCGTGCGTGGGCTTTTGGCGGGGGAGGTGGGCGGGTTGATAGCTGTGGTGGTGTGGTTGAGAAGCGTAGGGATTTGGGGTTTCTAAAAAGACGTGTGGAGCGGCAGGTGGTGCAGATGTAGGGCTGGGAGGGCGATAGTAAGAAGCGTGTTAGATGGGGGATTGGTGGCTTCATTTTGGAGGTTGGTTGGAAGATTTTGTTTGTGGTGGGTGTGGTGTTGGTTGTGGTGAAAGTTTTGGGTTTTCTCAGCCTTGCGCTTGAGGCAATGTTTGGGTTGATGACGTGGATGTGCTGATCGACAAACAGGGTGGGGGGAAAGAAAATCATTCACCCATTTAATTTACATTCAATTAATCCTGCAATAGGAATTCCACTCCATTCCAGACTTCCTAAATTGAATATCTCAGTCCGTTTTAAAGAAGCTCAATGTGTAACGAATACTCAAACTGGCCAACTAAACTTGGCTGGGTGTTCGCTGGTTGGTATGCTATGATAAGAAGAAGACTATCGGGTTGTTCACTTGGAAGTGAACTCGTTACTTGTATCAAAGATGTCAAACTAATATGATAAGATTGATAACTAAGTTGATAACTAAGTTGATAACTAAGTTGAGCACGAAGCTCCTATCTAATGGCAGACATGCCAGTGTTATATAGAACCTTCTTGCTCATGGATCTGGTTGGATCCTAGGATCCCCAAGATCCATCCAGATCCAAAGATCCATCACGTGACTATAATGAAATCCTTGGATCGCTTAGCTAGTCTAGCCGATC